AAAAAAAAAAAAAAACCCAAAGTCACTACCATCAAGTTGGTTCTGACTCATAGTGATCCCTCCTTGGGTTTCCAAGGTGATATCTCTATAGCAGTAGATTGCCCAGTCTTCCTTCCAGATTGGCTGGTGGGTTTGAACTGCCAACCTTCCGGTTAGCAATCAAAGCCTTAGGCACTACACACCAGAGCTAAACTGAAACTCAGATATTATGACAAACAGAGTTTTCTGTCCTCAAATTTGAAAATTATTTATTTGGTATAGTATTTTACTGAAGCTTCTTCCATGGAAAGACGCATGAGACAGAAAATCAAGCATAACTATCAGTTTCTTGGTGTCTAAGAATCCTGATTCTTCAACTTATTTTAAAAAAAATTAATCCAAATTTTGGTTTATAAGGCATTTTCCCACCAAAATTAAAGAGTGGTGAGTATAAAACTATACATTCAATGTTTCGAACAGAGGGAAAAAGACAAGTCAAACCATGCAAAGATCCTCCAGTAATCTCTACACCCACTACCAGAACTATTACAATTCAGAAAAAATCTTTATTTCCAGGACTTTATTCACACATATATCTGTATCCTAGAGTTTCTTTCCTTATTTAGACTGCAATTCTATAACAGTATAAAAATTGGACTAGGAAGAGACATTCAAAATAATAAATCTCCCTTCTTTACCCTATTGGATAAACTAGCATTTCAAAATGCAAACATTTAAAATTAAATCTCACAAAATATGATACAAAGCCCAGAGTTGTTTTTCCTTGTTCTCTTTACAGTATCTGTAGCAACAAGGCAATGTGAGGGCCTTTAAATAACCTGACACTCTAAGTAACAGCAGCATCCTGCATGTACCCTGAAGACTCTGTTCATGATCATTCTAAAATCCATCTATTTTTTACACCAAAACGTACCTGGTGCTCAATTTGTTTGTAACATATATCACCAGTGTTAATGTGAGAGAAAACTATAAGCAAATTCCCAAAATATATTCCATTTTTACACTTTAGTTAACAAGACAACTTTAGTATAACAGATTAAATCTGCCTTCTTGATAAGCAATTCTAAAATGAAAAAGAAAAAAAAATTCAAGAACATGTCTGATTTCTACTATTTATCAAATATTTTCAGGATATAAAGGTAGGAAACTTTAAACAACAAAAATATTAATACACAAAAACAATTAACTTATACTTCTGGTTCTACAGCATACTAATTACTCTTGTACCTTATAAAGAATAAGAAGATAAAATTATTTAAGATATTTGAAATTTGTTGTTGTTGTTAGGTGTTGTAGAGTTCTCTCTGACTCATAGTGACCCTACACATAGCAGAACAAACACCGCCTGGTCCCACACCAGCACCATGATCCCTGCTATACTTGAGGCCATCATCATCACAGCCACTGTGTCAATCCATCTTGTTCAGGGTCTTCCCCTCTTCCATTGATGCTCCACCTTACCAAGCATGACATCATTCTCCAGGGAATGGTCCCATCTGACAACATGACCAAAGTAGGTGAGACGAAGTCTGACCATTCTCACTTCTTAGGAGCATCTTGGCTGCACTTCCTCCAGGACAGATCTGTTAGTTCTTTTAGCAGTCCATAGTACTTTCAGCATTCTTCACCAGCACCACAACTCAAAAGCATCAATCCTTCTTCAGTCTTCCTTATTCATAATTCAGCTCTCACATGCATATGAGGCAATTAAAAGTATCATGGCTTGTGTCAGGCGCACCTTAGTCCTCAAGGAGACATCTTTGCTCCTCAGCACTTTGAAATATAGCTACCATATAAACACAAAGTATATAATATCTTGAAGCCAAATTTTAAAAGACATAGAATTAAAATTTTATTATCTTGTTAAGAGTTTATGGGCAACAAAAACAGTCAATCAAGACCTAACATCATCTCTCATGTAACTGTCAGTCTTTGGATATTTCACATTCAGCTCAAGCATAGTAAATAATATTTATGGAATCATTCTACTTTAAATTCTTTTGCTACTAAAAACATCACATATGGAACTTTTCTTTTAATAAGTGAAGTAGGGAATCTATACTTCATTAAACAAAATATCCTAATGAGCTGGAACACAGGTCTGCTT